ATATTTCTGGGATATTTCAAACGCTGCTCTCTTCTTGTTAAGATGAGGCAGACACTTACATGACAGTATATGATGGGTCATATGTGCTGGATGACCCTTCGTTAACTGTTTAACCAGCTGCTACCTAAGATTGACTTTATAATTTAGGTCTGCCTTGAGGTATGTCCTAAAGGATACAACTTATGAGCATCTGCCAACTGTTCTTAGGTCTCAAGTGTCTTGAGGTGTGGCCTCCAAAACAGCATTCTAGAAACTGCTGTAATGGTAGACACAATTGATTTATTGAAAGTGTGTACTCAGTTTCAAGCCTTACCTAATCTGTGATAAAAAGGAAAGCAAAATACCTTTTCCAACTTGAATAACTCTGTTTTGCAAGCGAGTATTAAGGGATATGCATTAATGATAAACGTGAAGGTGCAGTGTTACTTGTAGTGAGGTGTGTGCTTGGAGCTCTATTTTCCCTAGTTCTCCATTTCCTATGGCAGTTGTGGCTGTCAGTCTCTTTGCTCTTTCCTTTTCACTTCCATGAGATTTTTATTATCATTATCTGAGCTGTGGGTAGAGCTAGAGGTATGCTAAAACTAAGATTAGGTTTTACCTTTCTATTAACTGCTGAAATCCGTGGAGTTGTGTTAGCTGCATAGTGCTGTAACTGAGTGCAAGAGCCTGAGCCACGGTTTAAAAAAGAGGTGATTCTGGGAGGGGCTGATAGTAATAATTGTTCCACTGACTTGTTTCTCAGATCACACTGTAGTCAATGGGAATGTGCTACAACATCAAATCACAAGTTGAGTGGTTGGGATAGCTAAAGCACATTGATTCCTAATGCGGCAAAATGTCTGGGATTCCATTTGTCATTCCCATAGGGAAGAAACAACTTAGTATTTTTAATTTACAAGGTTATTGGGTAGTTATATTCTTAATAGAAAGGATACAGAATGGTCTTTTTGCATACTAGATTATCTCTTATGTCACATATATCATTGATAAATAATACAGAAATTAATTAGTATCTCCTAATAATTGGTCTCTTGTTTCAGCTTAGGGGAAAATACATCATGATGAAAAAGAGACTAGTCCAGTTTCTTCTGCTTTTGGGTGTTGAAGACAGGACAAGGAGTAAATCGACAATGGAGACCAATCTCCCATTCCTGGAGGCAGGTCTCTAAGGCTCTCTCTGTGAAGAGAAGACCCCTTCAAGGGAAAGAAGGGTGGTCTTCAGAGAAAATTTCCAGATCTCTCTAGGCAGCTGAATTCCTTGTTGTGTCAATAAAACATATGCGCATATGATGTAAAGTAGGAAAGTAGCACAGTGAATGCTTTTGTTAGAAGAGCTGCTAAAGGTGTATTACGGATTCAAGGAATGCAGGAAGAAATGCATTTGTATGTGATGAGGAGGGGAGGAAGCTGCTGTGTGAAGCCGGAGTAAAGCCTGGCTTAAGCAGTACAGGGATGCCACAGCTCAAAGCTGAGGTGAGCGTTCTGTTCCCTCTATAAATTGTGAAGAATCTGCTCCATACAGCATCTTTCTGAAGCAGATGCAGCAGTTACTGCTTGGCTGGCGTGACATGCGGTTAGTGTGGTTTTTATCATGGAGCTTTTACTTTGCCACCTTTTACCTCTCGCAGACTGTTTTACGCAGTTCAGTTTATGATGTTTTTTTTCCTTTTCATTTCATAAATCTATCAGTTATTGAAAAGATTGTACTTACATTGACCGTAGTAGCTTTGAGTGCAAACTGCATTTCAACTGGGCATCTTGAAGATATTTAAACATCTGTTCTTCCCCTTATATATGCTATACTTATTTGGCAATAGATGCTTTCATGGATTAGGAAGTATTCCATGCACACCCAGCATTGTCTGAAGCTGTGTCTTTTAGATTGAAATGGGTGGAGCTGGTTTTCAGGGAAAAATTCTGGAAATCCTATCCAACTTGAGAGCTTAATGCTGTTGTGCATCTGACTGCAAGGCAAGCTTTCCTCCTACAGACCATTTTCTTGAGAATGTGGGAGGGATTGTTAAGATGTTTGGGTTAATAGGGTAAATTGCAGGTTTTGTGTTCTGTGAGACTTCTTACACAATCAAAATAGAGATTATAAGGAGAGGCTGAAACTGATAAATAGATTCTGTTTTTAGGAGCAGAATGTTAGTGTGAAAAGGATATGTCTCCTTTTCACTGGAGCTGGAAAAAAAAGTGGTATTGTGTTGGAGGTCAAGGAACCTATAGTTAGGATTACTAGTTTCTGCTGCTGGCTTGTAGCTTGATCTAAAGTGAGTTTCCTAATCGTTACCTCCAGAGTTGAGGTTATTACCAGCCTGCCTCATGATGAAATGCGAGCCTTTGTATATACATTTATAAAACTTTAAGATTTAGAGGAAATGAGACATAGTATTAGGAGGGAGATAAATACCCATACCCAAGGCATTTGTTTATATTCATGCTGGTTCAATGTGCTAATTCGGATATCTGGATGGCTATTCTTGATGATGCTGTAGCTCCTTTCAAAAATAGAAGAAAGATGGAGGAAAGAAAAGGATATACCTTTTTTTCTTCTTCAATGCTTTGCTAATTTTTAAGAAAGAAAATGCTGAAATGGCATTTGGGGAGAGATGATGGCACAGTCTCTGCAGATTTAAGGGGGTGGAGGTGGGGCCGTGTATAAATGAGATTTGAGAAAAATGGGAGCAGATCCCTGTTGGCAAAGATACAAGGGTTAATAGCAAGCAAAAGGGGGAGAAGGCTGCCAAAGAGAAAATACTTGTGTCTTTGTACCAGTACAAGGGAAAAACCTCAACCAACCCCACAAAACCCTATCAGGCTGAAAATCTGTAATGGTTTCTCATTTCTTTTGTGTGTTTGTTTAACTTATGACAAAGTCTGTCTAGTGTGTTTTTTTTATGTACTCAATGTTCTGTAGCTCATTTTTTAAAATGAGGTAGGCTAGCCTGTTAGGTAGAGCTGCTTTTCAAAAGAGAGGCGGTAGGTGGGGCTGTCTGGTCTCCCCAGTGCTGCAAGCAAATAGCAGAAATAAAGGTAAATTGACAAGAAGCCTTCTGAACTGTGCCTAACAGTGACATTTCTGAAAAAATGCAGCTTGTCCCAATGCTTAGCTGAGGATGTTATCCTAGGAAGTTTTCGGTAAACTACCATGTAGAGAAATCCGTTGTTGAGAAATCCAGAAGTGGGGCAGGATCTGACGGTTGTCAGCCATTGCAAGCCCAGGCGTCACCTTGCCCTCTTCACTTTCAGCGGCTTTGAAGAAAAAAGGGATTCTTTGAAATATCAAAAGATATTCTTTACAACCTCCCATACCTATTTTCCTGAAGGGAACAAACATTCCTTATCCTGCTTTACCTTGAGCATCTTGACTGCTGTCAAGGGCTGGTCTGCATCTGTGGTTGCCTCTCCTTGCTTCTGCTTACTTTCAGTCTGTTAGTATGAAGAACTTCAGTCCTTGGCTTTATTGTTGGTCCTCATTTACCAAAGCAATGGAAAAAAGTGACAGTCTTTGCTTGTTGTCAGTATGGTTCTCAGTACCAGGAATAAAAATGACCACTTAAAATTTTATGTTCTTAAGAGAAAGCTGTACTTGTAGAAAAAACTTTCTTAGTTAAAAAAAACCCCAAACAGTTTGTTCTTATGGTTGTAACAAAACAATCCTTTTGTCCCAAGACCTTTTGCAGAAACTAAAATTCTTTGTAATATTAAATGAAAGCAGTTGTATACCTATGGTCTTTCTGCATTTACAACTTCTGCTGACACTAGGTCCTGTCGTTAGGGCTACCGTGCAAAACTCCTGTTTCTACTCCAGAATTCAATTCTGTTTGAAACTCATGGAAGCTATATTGGTGAAAAAAATGATTTCTACCTCTTTATTTTAATGTGATAGTTTAAAATATGTCACAGAAAACACCTCTGTTCCAGAATTCTTTTTCCCTATCCCTACACCATGCTGCTGGTTGTTTTTCTTGAGTGTAGATGAGTAGTTCATTAATGTACTTGTAAATGTTTTACAGCTGTCAAGATATTTTAGTATATAGTAAAAAATAGTCCAAGTCCTCTGTATTCAAAGCAAAAGGAGCAGTACCTTGCTGTTATCACATTTAACACCACTGACATTCTTCAATTTGAACTGTTTTTTCTGGTTTTGGTGCTGAATTCATTAATGCTGTATATGTCTAAAGGTGATTTTTTTTTTTTTTTTTTTTTAATCTTGGAGCAAGAAAGGGGTAGCACTGAGATTCAAACCTTGATTTTGTTTTAGGTTACATTTATTAATGTTTGGCATTCTTAACATTTTGTTGATGCTCCTTGTTCTACTGTTTTTTCCATGTTCTGGATAATACTAAATATATTTCACAGTAGATGTGAAGTATTTGTAAGAGCAAGTCAGTCTCAAAATATGTATGTGAAAAATTCTGTTTTAATGGATAACTTCCTTCCTTCCGGACTGCTTTTTTAACATAAAGAATTTGGCACACTGTTGTCTTCTGTATATGGTGGAAGGGGATGCATCAAGTCTGTCACCAGTGTTTTAGCAGTACCTAGGAGAGAGGCTGAGTTATTTCCAATTGTAAGGAATTATCCCAATTGTGAAGTTGACATTCTGACCTTCAGAGATGGCCATTCAACATGTTCTCAGTCCTTGTCATGTCTTTTAGTACTGTCAACAAAGGGGGATGCTGCTACCGGTATCAGTATTTATGTCAAGTGTGTAGTTCTTGTGGATGAAACTAGGATGAGGACCAAGACCTGATTTTTAGTATTTACGTTCCATTGAATGTAAATGGATTTGGTTCTGTTGCAGATTAGTCATAGACATTATTTTCCCACTTGGAGGTTGAAAGTTGTGCTCCACTGAAAAGGACTGACTTGTGCAGAGGGTACAGTAGGGAACATGAAGGTAGGAGCCTGTGTACTCTAACAGAATCTCATCTTCTCCACCATCTAGAAGTTCCATTGAAAGGAAACCTTGAAGGTTGCAAGACAAGTCCAAGATGTGCAGTTCAGTTGCTCCCAGGCTGTGGTTCTTAACAGACCGTCGCATCAGAGAAGATTACCCTCAGCAGGAGATCCTGAGAGCACTGAAGGCCAAGTGCTGTGAAGAGGAGCTAGATTTCCGGGCCTTGGTGATGGATGAAGTGGTGCTGACCATTGAGGATGGAAATCTTGGTGAGAATGAGCAAAGTCTGGGAATGTGCTGAAAGGGTACTCGGAAAAAGATTGTAAAATGGAGCATCTGTGCTCTTTGATAGTGAATTCCATGTGGCCAGACTGCCATACATCATCTAAGTCTTGTAGATGTACATGATATCATGTTCTTTAGCATTTATTGTGATAATCAAATAGAATTGTTAACATTGCTAATTTGTGTTAGAACTATTTTTGCCTTCCTTTTTGTAGGACAGAGAGGAGAGTTGCTTTAGTATGTCGATTCCAGGATAAGTAGTATAGGATCTCTGAATTAAGAAATTACTGAGTTTCGTTTTTGCTTAGGTACTTGAAGCTTATGGAAATTACGGAGTTTTGTTTTTGCTTAGGTACTTGAAGCTTATGAGTTCCATTTAAGAGTTTCAGGGGGACTTTTTTTCTTCTGTTTGTGTTCTGACTTGAAGACAGCAAACACATTTGAAAAGGAATTTTCAATGGACGGTACAAATTGTCATGGTGCTAGAGGTAATAATGTGATGTAACTAAAGCATGCTGCTGTACAAATGTGTAGTTATATATATGCCAAAAAAGAACGGGGCTGAAAAACAAAGTATGTGCATCAGAATAATGTGAACAATTACTACAACTTCGTGTTTTAAACTAAATTGTAAGATTTCTGTTCTGTTTTCCTATTAGCTTTTTTTTTTACCTGTGGTGATTAAAAGGGAAAAGTGGGACATTAAGGTGTTTTAGAGATGTTAAGTAAAATGATTCTGTAGATCCTAAGCTTATGCTATAGGAATAATATTAATGCCACCAATGTCAAGCTGTATAGCACTTACTATTATAACTGGGTTTTTTTTCAACTTTTTAATTTGGATTTCCTAGGAAGGAGACTGCAGCGTTGTTTTGTACCTTTACCTCTTCTATTTCTTTTCCTCATGTATCAGTGAGAAAAAATGCCCCTGGGGATCCAGGGAAGAATTGCATTTCTGAAAGTTGCATTAGAATAATTCAGTGTGGGAAGAAAATATAAAAGTACTCTCAGGCCTGAAGAAAAGGCTGCCATGTGAGCTTATACCTTGTTCCCTACTGGGGAATCTATATAGGAGGGAAATCTTAAAACTGACTTTGGGGAAGAACTTTGGTCAGAATTTGCACCTTACTGTAGCATGAATCAGTCAAGGCTAAAACAAATGCATGAGAAAACAGGATTTTTGATTCTGGTATTACTAAACTTTTGTTTACATATTTTTTCTTTTATTCTGAGGTGTCTATGATCTTTATTAGAGGCTGGAAATTCTGTAGGATGTCTTCAAATGGAGGCAACTTCTTGTCAGAAAATCTGAACATCTTACTGCTCCGAGTGTGCTGTCCTTTGGACACTGTTCTGCAAAGGCAGCCATCCTGGACTGTAGCTGCAGCCTCTGAGATGCATAATTGGTCCTTCAGCATTTCAGTATTGTTTATATTTCCTGGTGATGTTTTCTTCTGTACTGTCTTCTGCCTGGTTTTGGGGAATTAAATATGGCAAGTGTGAATTGTGGGCCTTTCTGCTTTCTTCTGTTTAATGTCTCCTAATGCTGCATCTATTCCAAAAAGAAAAGATAAAGTATGCAAGTTGGAAAACCTAATACTTAGGAATGTGTAGTACAAGAATGAGAAAAATTAAGGAAAGAAAGAGTGCAAAAAAAGGGAAATTATTTTCATACAAAGTGTTCGTTCAAAACTGTGTAAATGACCTTTTGAAAAGGAGTGAGATGAAAATGCTGAAAGATTGTGGATAGAAATTTCCTTATAAATAATCTGGACTGGCTAATTGTGATTTTTTTTTTGTTTTTTGGGGGGGTAGTGGTGGGGGAGTTGTCTTACATTAAATAATTATTTCTCTTTGAGAGAGATGAAAAACCTTCCCTTTTAATTATCTAGTTTTCTTTTTCCTAGTGCTTGCCTATGTGTTTTGATACATATTTCTGATGGAGGACACAAGCAAAAGTTTTGTGTTTCATTTTTCTTGTAAAGTCCTCAGTTGGCCTAGGAAAAGGTGTCCTGGAACAAAATCCAGGAGGTAATGCATTCTGTATCCTTTCCATTTTCTACTGTTGTGTGAGGGGTCCAGGCTGAATAAAAATTTCGTACAACACAGAGGGTTTGATAAAGAAGCTTTTGCTTCCCGTTCTACCGTTATTTGCGTTGAAAGCTTAGCAACACAGGGCTCAGACTCTGGTAATACATGGTATTGGAGGAAGTAATAGGTTTTCACATACTCACACTTGCGATTAGACCTTTTTTTGTCCTTTAAAACCTAGGCAATTTCTTAAGTAAATAGTTAAAGGAATGTTAACTTTACAAAGTCCAGTTGGAAATTATAGGATGCTATTTAAAACTTGAAAATGTGGTATTTCTGTAGGTGATATAATCAGTGATACTTCCTTGTGGACTTGTTGACTGTCGGGAACATGGCTGAAGACTTCAGAGACCGAAAGTTCAGCATAGGACACTAAAAAGCTTGAAATTAGTTACCTCACAGAGGTAAAGCAGAGTGGAAAAGACACTTGTAAACTTAGGAAAATTGAGCAGAACAGTGGGGTACATACCAAAACTGAAAATTGGGCCTTCAACTGATTGTGTGGTGTATGCTTTGACAGTAGAGCATACTGATGTAAATATCATTGAAGCCCAGAGCGAAAGGCAGATGTGGAAAACTTCGGCAATGCTGAGACTCTTTTAAGAGTCTGTATATGTCAGAGAATTATAAGATTTGCCATGTACCTGACGTGGCCAAAAGGAGAGGGAGAGGCAGGATTATTTCAGTAAGGACATGGCAGTAGCGACTCCTCGGGGCATTACTCTTGCTGTGCTGGACGGTTGGATAGGAAGCATGGCTGGATTCCCAGGCAAGCCAAGAGTGCAGCCCCAGCAGTCCCTGCTGGTTCCAATTTCTTCTGCAGCTGAAATTTGGGATGATGCAGCATCCCAAGCACACACCCAGCCCCAGTATTACTGGCCACATGATGAACCTGCATGCAGCTCAAGATCCGCATTAGGTGCCTCAGCGCAGCAGGAGTCCAAAAATGATTGTAAATGAGATGAGATGTAAGAGGTGTAGAATTTAAAATTTTTCCTTTAAGTTTAGAAGGATACTCTTAAACTGATTTATGCTTAAGCTGTTCTGGAAATAGTTTATGTTCAACATATACTTTTTGAAAATAACTATGCCTTATATAAGTAAGTGCTAGTGCATGCCTGTTTACCTGAGCCATGCATTCCTATTTCCTTTGCACACTGGCAATAGTACTCTGTATATCTCCAAGGCAAAAGCTGAGTTAAAATCAGTGGAAAAGTCAAGCTGCATATAAAAAGGAATATTTTTCTGATTCTTTGGTGGGCTGAACCTGCTGAAATGGTTTATTAATTAATTAAATGCTGAATTAGACATGCACAACATTGGTGCACATTAATGGACAGGAATGCATGTGTGGAAAGAAGTGGAGGGTGATATTGCAGCTGTTATGATTTAAACTGGCTCAAACTATGGTGCGGCTGTAGCCCAAGTTTCTTAAGAGCTAAATTCTTGAAGCGAAACCAGTCTAGTATGATCTACTGCTGAATGGAGCAGCTGTATTTCTCTTGTCCCTTTCTAGCCTTGCTATTGCTGCTTGCCTTGTGTAAGGACTTTAGGTCTCTCTTGGCTTGCTTTCATGTTGTAGCTGAGCTAATCTGATTCAAGAAAAGGTTGACCAAATTCTCTGCTTGTTTGCAGGATCTGGCATTTGTTTGAGTTGACTTGTCTAATCCAATGGAACACTAGTGCTGCCCAAATACTTAACAATTTTCTGTTGCTGCGTCGATCTATTATGTGGTCACACAATTGCCAGCTCTAGTACATGAAAGCAGGGGAGAATGGGCTTGCTCTTTTTGGGAATGGCTTGCATTTATGTTGATTTAGTTGTAGCTTCAAGGCATACTTTAAAACAGGAATTTTCTTACAGTTGGAATTCTTGATAGTGTCAGGTTTAAGATTTTTTTGTGTGTGTATTTATAGCATCTGGTATTTACTGCTATAAGGAAAGCACTGGATTACTAAATTAAATGGCTAGTTGACTAGTCTAGTTTGGCAATTCCTATATTCATGTGAAATAAATAGCAGGTAATCTAACAAAGCTCTGCATGACATTTTCAGACACACATTCGAAGCCTTGACAGTGAGTCCATTTAAAAATGTGTAATTTTAAACTATTTGTCTGCGTTTGCCAGTGCAGTGATGTAACAGGCTTTGGGAATTTGAAACTAGACAGATTATAGCTTGTGAGCCAGAGTGTGTGGGGTGGGATGGGGGTAAAGGTGGAGGAAACCTGTAGAGAGCAAGACTTAGTGGACAAGAGACAAAAGATAATTCATTGGTTGTCTCCTCTTTCTGAATACAGCACTCTATTTCTTCTTACCTGGGTCTAGGACTTAGCAGGAACTTTCCTTACAGACTACACACCTTACCTGTAGGGAAGAACAGTTCAAGAACTGTTGGTGAAGAACGCGCTAGGGAAATTTGGATCTTTCCTTCATTAAAATTATATACAAAAATGTCTTCATGAAAATTCTTTGCTATCAGAATGGCTGAAGTTTGACATCACTGATCCAGCAATTTACTAATTCTTTTATTGTCGCTTTTTGGAATCTCTATATTTTCCGATACTGTCCTGTGAAGGTAAATGGTTTTGAGGAAAGTAGCTTTCATGAACTTTCAACTATTAAAGATGCCAGAGTGAGTGGAATTGGAGTGTCCTAAAGCATAAAACAAAGCATGAACTTTTCCTAGACTTTCTTGGCGTTTCTTTTGGGAATGTAAAAGCAAGTGATCAGCTGAGGTGAGGAATAAAAAGGACACAATAGTTATCTGTTATTAAACAGTAATAATTTTTGCATGATCAGCTGGCTTTTCTTAAGTCAGATGCATAGCATCTGGGAACTTATCTTTTCAGATTTTTTTTTTTTTTTTTTATAGTGGAAGCATTCAGAAGATA